CCAAAAAAAAAAAAAAAAAAAAGCAAAGCTTTCCTGTAAGAAATTTTAACTCATTCTGACAATGAACTAAACACGATCTGCTGAAACACAAGGACTGTAACATAAATAGTCATTATACTTTGTTCATAAATAACGATCTGTAAGTCCTGGAAACCTGACCCGGGCTCTGAGTCACAGCACTGCCCACTTTGATGGAACACTTCAAGGGAGAAAGTCTGGATACTGTTAATGGGACTTTTTTCTGCTCATTTTCCTGTTACGTTCTGGCAGGTCTGCTCTAGCCATTACAATGATATTTTACTCTTTTTCACGTGAAATATTAAAAACAAAAACATCTTAACCCAGGCACTGATCCCAGTGTTCATTTCAACACATGCAACTCTAACTGATGTGACAAAACGCTGCCAATACTGTTTCTCAAAACCACAGGTCTTCTGTCAGGGGTGCAAGATGAAAAGCTAATAAACAAATTGCCTTAAAAGACATCATTTGCTTTTTACTTTACATGGTCAGACCAGGTTCCTTTAACAAGTGGGAACACACCTTCCAGACTAACGACAGAGCGCACACGCTGGCGGCGAGGGTTACAGCCCCTCAGGTGGGACAGATCTGCAGCCGGAGGACACAGGCCCCACACTCATCTCACCCAAGTGTTTCTGGCCGGTTGGCACTGGATTAGGTAGAGCAACAAAACCTCCCTTTTCTCTCTAAGCGTTTTTTCATAGTTCCAACAGGAAGTTAAGAAGTACCAAGCGGCTCCATCCCAAAATGCGCCGTAACCGACAGCCAGCTTTCTTTTAAGCATCGCAGACCTCTGAAGGAAGGAAGGAATCCTCATCGGATGCCAGGGCCCAAGGTCAGAGCGCCTGCGTCTCCTGGTCCGTTCCTGCTGCCCTCAGCCAACACTGTGACATCACTGCCCTGCCTCTCCACCAGCCCAGCCTGCACAAGTGACCCCGCAACTACGGCCACCGAATCCTCACGGCTGCCCACAGGGCTTGCTCCATGACCGGGTCCCAGCTGGCCCTTCTCAGGCTCCTTTCCTGCCACTTTCTGCTTCATCCCAGACGGACCTGTTCCCCATCCCCAAGCCTTCCTCCCCGCTCAGCCCTCAGCCTGGGCACACCCTCTATTTCTGCCCAACAGCAGCTACCAATCCCAGTCGAGGACCGTCCAAAAAATGCAAACACCATTCAAATACCAGCTAACGTTGACAGGACACAGGAAATTCCACTTATCTGTCAACACTGTCATTACCTGGCAATTAACACACATCAAACATAAATCATTTATGCCTAAAATATGCACACAGGAGATTCAGGAAACAAGACCACGTCTAAAGTACGATGTCAGCACATAACATAATGCGCAGGGATCAAGTTCACAGGTCAACAGAGCACATATATAAGCCAAAATAATAGGACAGAATTCAAACACACAAGCTAAAACAACTCCATCAGCTAAGCGCAGGTCCCCTCAAAAGCTAGTTGGGGTTCTTTTCCTGACTGAGCACAGCAAACCTCTGTACTGTACTCAGCCTACCAAGCCCATCCCATCCAATTAATGGATAAAATGAACACGACACACCATTAAAAATTAAAATTAATGACACACAAGCTTCGACTGAGATAACCTCCCAGCCCTGGTGAGCATGTATGCGAGAGGGCACACGAGGTGCCCTCTCAGCGTGGAAAAGTGTGTGAACACAGAAGTAAAGGGATGTGCCAGTTCAAACACCTTCCTATGAAGATGAAGCAAGGGTCCCGCCCCAACTAAAAGTGGACACCATCTCCAGGAAAGGAAAACGCCCAAGTCTTCTAGATCTTGTATGTGTGTGCACTTGTACGTAAGATCAGGCCCGCCTCCACACGTGTCCACACACATAACCAGCCAGTGCCAGGAAGCTCCCTCTTTTCCCACTGTAAGCGGCTGGCAGGCCCAGCTGATGTGAATTCTCACATGCACATTACCTACAGAACGATATAAAAAGCAAAGAAACTGGTCACTAGCACCATCAAAAGAATCACAAGACAACAAAAAGGATAAATAATTTCTCACGAGGAAAGTCATAAACGCGCTCCTAACAACGATCCTACACTAAACACACACATTTAGAGAATCCATCCAGGTGCAAGTTCATGGAGAACATGCAAAGCATCTATTAGAACTGGGTTGGGTACTCAAGTCCAGGAAAAAGGACATAAAAATATGTGGCAAAATTAAACAGGAGCTCTGCACGTATCAAAATAACAGGAGTAAGATTCGGAAGCAGTTCTCGGAAAACTCTGGGGACTGACAAGCAGGAAACAGCCTGTCACACTCGCAATACACACAGGAGCCGCCCACCCGTCTGCTGCACGGTGACACACATGGCGGCTTAAACACACACACGTCATCAGGCTCATGTGCAACAAAATGAAGCCATTGAATGGGCATCCCATAATGATCACTGGCCCTAACACAAAACTAAAGAGGACTCGGCGGCGTGCCACAGAGACACAGCGCTTCACTTGAGGTCTCCATCTCCTTCCCCGTCCCCCTGGATGGACTTCTTGATGCGCAGCAGCATGGTGGTGAGCCACTGGTCCAGGCGGGATATTGAGTCAAATTCCTTCACCTGGTTTAAGGGAAGAGGAACAGGAATCATTCCGTGGAAATACAATCAAACACAGAACTACACTGCCCCACACTGCTTAAACATTAACTTTCTTCATTAAAAATCATTCATTCCAGTTTGCAACTTTCTTCATTAAAAACTTTTTTATATTGCTCTTATGCTAACATGCAATGGCAAAACTCCATTAACAGCCTACTGGACGAAGAGCATGTTTACCGTGACAAAGGACATGAGACCCTGTGCAAGAACAAGAGGACATGGAAAATTAATGTGGCTCCAGTATCCACTGAACACAAACAAACGTATTTGCAGCAAGGGAACATGTGGAAGCAGAATTCCTTTAACTCATTTCCACACGTTATCGAAGAATGGACTTTCACAGGATGAAAAGGGTTTGGCAGCAAAAGTTAAAGGGGAAACCTCACCTTCCCACGATTGCTTCAAAGCCAGGATGAATGACTTAATGAAGGACACTAAGAAATTCACTTGATTATGAACATAAGATGGAAAAAGATGGGAAAACAGGAAATTGATGAATGTAAAAATAATTTTCCCATTTACTTTATGCCAAGAATATAACAAACTCTCATTGCTTTGTTTTTATGTTTTAAATTTAAGTGATTAGATTTCACTGATTTTACTTGACACTTATTTATGGATCAGATTATTTTCCATAGAAAACATCCAAACAAGTCACAACATTATGTGATATATATTTGCCTCACAGCTAAATTCAGCACAGCTCATAGAACTGTCTAATTGTGAAGGCTGGTGGGATCTAAAAACATGCCTTTTGGAAAACACAACGTAGGTGTAGTGCAATAATGTCCAAATAAATGTTCAGCATTTACACGATGAAAAGCAGTTGTTTCTGTAACGTAAACTTTCAGAGAACATGCTAAATCCCAAAAGCAAACGTACTGCTTCCGTGTAAGCTTCACTGTTCTGCTCTTCATGAGCTTCTAGAAGTTTCTGGGAACATAAATACAGAGAAGTTAGTTTGGTAGAGGCTAAAAAGTTCCATCTATGAGTGGACACTTTAGATAGGAAATAGCCTTCGTATCACACTAACTGATGTTGCCAAGTGACTTACAAAACTGGGGACAATTTCAAATACAAGAGTTACCCCGAGTCAGGGATCCAGCCTTGTGCTAACGTGCCTGACCCGCCAGGTTAAGAGCAGTGCACGCCTGACCCTAACAGCACTTGAGGCCTCGTGTGCAAGAGCAGGACAGCACGGGGCTGCTCAGTGAGCAGATTCACAGGATGAAAATGTCACTGTATCCCAGACCCACCTACTTACTTTCAGTAACTTGCATTCTCTCGAATCAGTGAACGCTGGAAACATTTCCTCGTATTTTTCCAGAGCAAGCTGGGAAAGAAAACCACTGGTTAACATCTGAGTCACTGAACCAGGAAACGAAGCTCTGACATTCTACTAACTTCAGTACGATTTATTTACATCCTACTTAATTATCAGACTCAACATCAAAATCAACCTGTGTTGATCAAACCTGTTGATTGTGAATTTCAATTTCAGTTAAGAATAAACTTCTAAACCAGTTTTTCCGAACGAGGTTTCGGTGGGGAAGACCACGTGAGCCAGATCCAGTGTTTGGACCTCCCAGGGCAGGCGTCTATTTTCACGCGCTGGGGGAGGCTCTGCCCGGAGCCCGGGGCCCTAACCCCGACCCCGAGGACACCAAGGCTGCCCTGTCCCTGCCTCCACCTCCAGCTCTCTCTTTGCTTTTCTCCCAACCCTCACCCCAACTCCATTTCTGAGTTTAAAAAAAAGACACGATTCTGCGTTTACTGTCTCCCCTCAGCCCCTAATTTCTTTAAACCAAAACTAATGAAGGCAGTGTGGCCCCCAGGGGGCATTCACTTAAGAGAAGAGCCTCAGCAGCTGTCACTCCAGCTGCGGTAGTACAGCCAGGACAGGGTCAGAGCAGCACCCTCCATGTTGCTTTTCACGTGCGCAGCAGTCTTGCTCCGAGCTGGTGTCACGGACAACGGCTGAGCGCCTGTGCTCAGGGGTGCAGCGCGTCAGGACCCACGCCACGGGCCCCTCACCTTGGCATTCAGCTCATCCACTGTGAGGTGGCAGAGCGCAGCTTTAAAGAAGTAATCCTTCGCGCTGTACCTCAACAAAGGGTTATCCATGGCGCTGGCCCCGACCTAGGCAGAGAAAGTGGGGTCAGAGGGAAAAGCTTTGCCCTGCTACGCTAGGCACGCTCACCCTCATCTACTCTTTAGCAAGTACTCTGCATCTTACGTTAGTTAAGCTACGAAATCCATTCTTTTAACCCAAAGCCATGTACCAGAAATGTTACTAGACAAAAAAACAATATTTAAGACAAAGTGCTGACCTGTTAAAAGCGACTCAGCAGAATTCCACATCCAGGAGGATGGAACAGACATGCTGTCCTCTGTCCCTCCTGCTAAGTACAACTAAAAGCCCTGGATCTTTTATATGAAACTAACATAGGGAGACTGAAAGGTGGAGAGAAGAGCAGACAAGCCAGGGACACAGGGCAAACACGGCAGGGAGTTCCCTGGTTGTTCTTTTTCTTGCATAAATCCCTGACTTGGAACAGAAAAAGCCAGCAACCCATAAATGCTGGTGGGTGCAGTGAAAGAAAGAGAGAGAATAGATGAAAGCCTGCTTTCTCCAGCCAGAGGACCAGGAGAGGGGCAGCTAGCAAGACAGAAAATGTTTAGATGACACCTGCTCTGATCCACGCCACTCACAGCAGCAAAAGCCAAAGAGGGAGACAAGACGCCCATCCTCCTGGGAGAGCCCCACTCTCCTGCCAAGGAGGCCAGAGCAGGAGCCAGCCTGCGCCCCCATCAGAGGTGCTGGAGACCACGCAGGGACTGCATCACCTCCTCCCAGTGAGAAACAGGCCCCCTCATCTCCCAGCGGGCATGGATTCACCTTTACCTGATGGTAACCAGGCGGTCGGGTGGGGAGCTTGAACCCTACCTCCTGCCACCTGGCAGGAGCGAGGCCACACCCCTTCAGTGCCAGAGAAAACCATCTGAGAGAGGAGGAGGTTTAAACAAGAACCTGTCTTATAACACAATGTAAGAACATCCAGTTTTTAATTAAAACTCACTTGCAATACCAAGAAAAGGGAACATCTCAAGCTGAATGAAAAAAAGACAACTAATCAGAGTGAAGTAAGTTAGAAAGAGAAAAACAAATATCGTATATTAACGCATATATGTGGAACCTAGAAAAATGGTACAGATGAACCGGTTTTCAGGGCAGAAATTGAGACACAGATGTAGAGAACAAACGTATGGACACCAAGGGGGTAAAGTGGCGGGGTGGTGGTGGTGTGATGAATTGGGAGATTGGGATTGACATGTATACACTGATGTGGATAAAATGGATGACTAATAAGAACCTGCTGTATAAAAAAATTAAATTAAATTTAAAAAAATGACAACTAATAAACAACAACTCTCACATAGCACAGGTGTGAGACTTATCTAACAGATTTTAAAGGGGCCTTTCGAAAATGCTTCCACAAGCCATTAGAAAATTGCTTGAGACCAGAGGAAAACCAAAGCATCAATGAAGAAAATTCTCAGTAAGAAACCCCAGAAGATACAAAGAAGAAATGAGTGGAAACTTCAGAACTGAAATACACAATAACTGACATAAAAAGTGGATGGGTTCAACAGCAGATCCCATGGAACAGAGGAAGGACTCAGTGAACTGATGGTAGAACATTAGAAATTACTCAGTCTGAACAACAGAGAGCAGACAGACCCAGAAAAGAGGAGCAGAGCATCGGGACATATAGGATGATAAAACGAGGCGTAACATCTGGGCTGTCTGAGCCACAGAAGGGGAGAGAAAAGAGGGAGTGGCTAAAAAAGCACTTGAAGAAATAACGGCTGAAAACTTCCTAAATTTGGCAAGAAACAAACATAAACCTACAGATTCCAGAAGTTTACTGAAATCCGAACAGCATAAAAGCAAAGATACCCCATGCTAAGCCACATAAACTTCTGAAAACTGAAGACAAAGGAAAAACATTTTGAAAGTAGCAGAAAGAAACACCACCTCACCTACAGGGAAAACAGCTTGAATGAGAGCAAACTTCTCATTAGAAACCACGCTGGTTGTTAAGGGCACATTTTTCAAGCACTGAAAAGAAAAGAGCTGTCAACCCAGAATTGTATACCCAGGGAAGATATGCTTTAGGAATGAAGGGGAAATCAAAACATTCCCAGATGAAGGAACACCAAGAGAATGTTTAGCCAGCAGACCTACCCTAAAAGAATAGCAAAAGGTTGTTCTCTAAGTAGAACAAAATACAGGAAGGAATCCTGGAACATCAGGAAGAAAGAGCACATTAAGCAAAATATGGGAAAATGCAATGGGCTTTTCTCCTCCTGAGTTTTCTAAATCAAGTTGGATGATTGAAGTAAAAATTGTAACAGTGACTGATGTGTTTCTAAAAGTGTGTAGAGGAAATATTAAAGACAATTCTATATTGAATGGGGGAGGATAAAGGAACAGAAAGTAAGGTAAGGTTTCTGTATTTCACTGGAACTGAAAAAATGATGACATCATTAGCCTGTGATACTTTACGTAAATATAATACCTATAGCAATCACTACAAAAGCTATTTAAAGAGACACACCCAAAAACACTATAGGTAATCAAAAACCCCCTGGAAGGTAGGAAAAAGGAAACAGAAAAACAAAAAACAGAGGATAAACAGAAAACAAAAAAAATAAGGAAAAAGGAAACAAAAAAACAAAAAACAGGATAAACAGAAAACAAAAAAATAAAATGGCAGACTTCAGTTCTAATACGTCAATAATTACATTAAATGTGAATCGTCTAAACATACCAATTAAGAGACAGAAACTGGCAGAGTAGATTACAAATATGACCTAACTCTATGCTGTTTACAACAAACGCACTTCAATTATAACAATATAGGCAGGCTGAAAGAAAAAGGATGCATAAAGATATATCATGTAAACATTAATCAAAAGAAAGCAGGAGAGGCTATATTAGTATCAGATAGACTTCAGAGCAAAGAAAATTACCAGAGGCAGAGGGGGACACTATATAATGATAAAAGGGTCAGCCCAACAAGAAGACACAAGCAATCCTAAATATGTATGCACCAAACAGAGCTGCAAAATATTGTGAAGCAAAGACTGACAGAAATGAGAGATAAACAAATCCACAGTGATAGAGACTGTAACACTCCACTCTCAACAACAGAAATAGACAGAAAATCAGCAAGTATACAGAAGAACTCAACAACGCCATCAACCAAGAGGAGCTAATCAACATTTATAGAACATACCACCCAGCAACAGCAGAACCACAGAATATATGCCAAGACCATATTCTGAGCCATAAAACAAACTTCTAAGAATTGAAATCACACAGAGTGTATTTTCCAGCCACAACAGAATCAAACTAGAAACCAACAACAGAAAGATAATAGGAACACCTCCAAACACTTGGGAATTAAACAGAACACTGATAAATAATCCATGAAAATCAATAAATAAAATAAATAAAGATAAAACAATGTAACAGAACTGTGAGACACAATCAAAGCAAGCACTTAGAGGGAAACTACTAAAAATGCCCACACAGCAAAGAGGAAAATCAATTAGCGAAGCTTCTACCCTCAGTGCCCTAAAAAACAAGAGCGAACGAAATCTGAAGAAAATAGGATAGAAATCAGGGTAACAACAGGGATCAGTGAGACTGAAAACAGAACGACAGGGCAAAACCACTGAATTCTACCAAATGTCTCAAGAATTAACACCCATCCTCCACAAACTCTTCCAGAAAAGGAAGAGGAGGGAACACTTTCTAACTCATTCTGAGGCCAGTATTACCTGGCTACCAAAGCCAGACAGAGACATTACAAGAGAAAATTAAAGGTCAATATCCCTTACGAATACAGATGCAAAATCCTGAACAGAACACTAGCAAACTAATTCTAGCAACTTACAAAAAGGATTACACACCATAACTATGTAGTAAAGGATTAATTTTGTCCAAAGTGCCTTTTGCCCATGATTCCTGTTAGATAATCTCTAAGCCCCTGGAATGTCCTGTCTGAAAGAGCGTTTTTGTTTATCCAGGCGTCTTAGACCATGTAGCTTAGCTCAACCTATGGAGGGACTGCAGAATAAGGCCAACCATGTTCAGGTGAGTTTCTTCCCCGGTGGCAATACCCTACACATGCTTTCACACATCACTGCTGGGAGAAGTCAGTGCTGTCTGCACAGTTCCACAGTCCCAGTCTGGGCAGGACAACAGGAAGCTCACAGTCAGGGCTCTCTTGACCTCCTCTCTGTGCCTCTTCCTTTGGCTGATTTGGGTCAGCATCCTTCTGCTATAATAAACCATAACTGTGATATAGCCAGCTTTCATTGAGTTTTGTGAGTCCTTCCAGAGAATTATCAAACCTGAAGGTGCTCTTGGAGACCCTGAAACTTTTCAACAACCAAGCAGGATCTATCCCAAGGATGGAAGGTTGCGCCAACAGATAAAAATCAACCAATGAAAGACACCATGTTAACAGAATAAAGGACAAAAACCACATGATCATCTCAAAAGATGCAGAAAAAGCACCTGACAAAAACAAATACGCTTTGATGATAAAAACAACAAACTGGGAGGAGAAGGGAACTTCCTCAAACTGATAAAAGGCATCTGCAAAAACCCACAGCTGACATACACTCAATGGTGGAAGACTGAATGCGTTCCTTCTAAGACAGGAGCAAAACAAGGATGTCTGCTCTTACTACTTCTGCTGATCATCATTCTGGAGGATCAAGCCAGAGCAAATGACAGGAAAATGAAGTAAAAGGCACACAGATCAGAGAAGAAAAACTATTGCTACTTGCAGAGGACATGATTTTGTATAAAGAAAATCTTAAGGAATCCATAAAAACTCATTAGAGCTAGTAAACAAGTTCAGCAAAGTTGCAGTATATAAAATTAGCAATTAAAATCAGAAAAGAAAATTGAGAAGACAATTTCATTTACATAGCATCAAAAAGAATAAAATACTTAGAGTACATTTAACCAAAGAAATGCCAGACTTGCACACTACAAAACCCTAAAACATTGCTGAACAAAATTAAAGATGATCTAAATAAATGCAAAAGCACCCTGAGTTCACAGATTATAAGACTTAATGTCAAAATGACAATACTTTCATCAAAATCTCAGCTGACTTTTTAGCAGAGATTGACAAGCTGACCCTAAAATTCATGTGGAAATGCAAGGGACCCCAAATAGCCAAAACAATCTTGAAAAAGAAGGACCAAGTTGAGGACTCACATCTCCTGATTTTAAAACTTACCACACAAAGCCACAGTAATCAAAACAGTGTGGTGCTGGCATAAAGACAGAAAACCAGTAGAATAGAATAGAGAGCACAGAAATAAACCCTCACTTATATGGCCACATGACTTTCAACAAGGGTGCCAAGACCCTTCAATGGCAAAAGGACAGTGTATCCAACAAACAGTGCTGGAAAAACTGGACATGCACACGCAAAAGAATGAAGTTGGACCTTTTACCTTCACCACATACAAAAATTAACTCAAAATGGATGAAAAACATAAACCTAAGAACTAAAACTATAAAACTCTTAAAATGAAACATGGGGAGGGGCTTCCCTGGTGGCGCAGTGGTTGAGAGTCCGCCTACCGATGCAGGGGACACGGGTTCACGCCCCGGTCCGGGAAGATCCCACATGCCGCGGAGCGGCTGGGCCCGTGAGCCATGGCCGCTGAGCCTGCGTGCCCGGAGCCTGTGCTCCGCAACGGGAGAGGCCACAGCAATGAGAGGCCCGCGTACCGCAGAAAAAAACGAAACAAAACAACAACAACAGAAAAATGAAACATGGGGAAATGCTTCAGGACACTGGGTTTGGTAATGATTTCTTGGATCTGACATGAAAAACACAGGCAACCAAAGGAAAAGCAGACAAACTGGACTTCATCAGGACTTAAAACTTTATGCATCAAGCGACAATAATAACAGAGTAAAAAGGCAACCCACAGAATGGGAGAAAGTATTTGCAAATCACATATCTAATAAGAAAATTAATATCCGGAATATATGAAGAACTTCTAAAACTCAACAGAAAAAACCAACCCAATTCAAAAAGGGACAAAAAGGGACTTCCCTGGTGGCACAGTGGTTAAGAATCCATCTGCCAATGCAGGGGACATGGGTTCGAGCCCTGGTCCGGGAAGATCCCACATGCCACGGAGCAGCTGAGCCCGTGCACCACAACTACTGAAGCCTGCGTGCCTAGAGCCTGTGCTCCGCTATAAGAGAAGCCACCGCAATGAGAAGCCCATGCACCACAACAAAGAGCAGCCCCCGCTCGCTGCCACTAGAGAAAGCCTGAGTGCAGCAATGAAGACCCAATGCAGCCAAAAATAAATAAATAAATAAATTTATATTAAAAAAAAGGACAAAGAAACAATAAATATTTCTACAATGAAGGTATACAAGTGACCAATAAGCACATGAAAAGATTCCCAACATCACTAATCACTAGGGAAATGGATATCGAAAACACAATGGGATATCACTTCACACATTAGGGTAGCTATTGTTAAAACAGAAAACAGGTGTTTGTGAAGCATGGAGAGCTGGAACATGTACACACTGACAGAGGGAATGTAAAATGGTGCAATTTGGCAGTTCCTCAGATAGTTAAAAAGGGACTTGACGCGTGACCCAACAATCCCAATTCTAGATATATAAACTAGAGAACCGCAAACATGCCCCCCAAACCTGAACACAAATATTCTTAGCTGCATTATTCATAATACCCCCAAATGCAAACAGCCCAGATGTCCATTAATTGATAAACGGTTAAACAAAACTGTGGAGTATTACAGTCACCCCTTGGTATCCAGTTTGGAGTCACCCCTCCAAACTGTGGAGTATTACCGTCAACCCCGCGGTATCCAAGGGGGACTGGTTCCAGGACCACTGAGATACCAGTGTCCATGGATGCTCAAATCCCACAGTCGGCCCCCCATATCCGCAGTTCCACGTCCATGGACTCACACACCACGGGACTGGGAGGAGGGGAGGATGGGATTTTTTTGGGCGATGATGGAAATATTCTAGAACTAGGCAGTGGTGCTGATCACACAACTTTGTGAATATACGCAAACTCACTGATGCGTATTCTTTAAGAGGCTGAATTACATGATATGTGAATTATATTTCAATAAAAATCATTACTAAATAAAAAGTTGAATTTAAAAAGAAGATTCAGAATGCCTTCTGCCGGAAGCTGCGCAGACAGCAGCCTCACCTGCTCGAAGATCTCGATGGCCTTCTGGTACTGCTCCAGCTGGGCGGCGTACGCGGCCACTTTCAGCAGACATTTGTTAGCCGAGCTGAAACCGAGAACCAGAGCAGAGAGAAAACACTCCCAAAGGGAAATGACAAGACATCTCAGTGCACCTTCACGTGGTGTGATGCAAGGGGCTCCCAGAGCAGAGTAAAGTACATGTAACAAAACCCACTGAATTATATCAAGAAAAATACTACTTGCCTGTTGGATTCTTCCCCTTTGTAATAATCAGCTGACTGTTCGTAATGGGCGATAGCCTGCAAACACACACACATTTTATTCAAACTATTTGTTGGAAGAGTTGCATTTAAAAACTACATTTGCGGGCTTCCCTGGTGGCGCAGTGGTTGAGAGTCCGCCTGCCGATGCAGGGGACACGGGTTCGTGCCCCGGTCTAGGAAGACCCCACATGACGCGGAGTGGCTGGGCCCGTGAGCCGTGGCCACTGAGCCTGCGCGTCCGGAGCCTGTGCTCCACAACGGGAGAGGCCACAGCAGTGAGAGGCCCGCGTACCGCAAAAAAAAAAAAACAAAAAAAACTACATTTGCACAGACATTTTTCCTATAAATAAACCTTTTCCAGCAGCAAATCTTTCACAACCCAGCCTGCTTTATTTTGGGAACACAAGAAAGCACGCGCCTCCAGCAGATGGCTGCTGTCCATCAAAACCTCTTCTTCCCTACCTCCCACCTGACAAATGCCCTGCCACCCCGTCTCCCCAGGCCTGCTGCAGTTAGGGGCAGCCAGGTGACCCGTCCTTCCCAATGGGATGTAAGCAGACACGCTGTGGGCCACCTCCAGATGTGGCCCACACATCTGACTCTGCAGCCGTCTCCAGGCCTGTCCCCTTCCCGTGAGCTGGAAGGCAAGGGCCACGTCTAGTGATGCTGGAAGCCACAAACTGAAGATGGCAGCCCTTCTGTCAGCCTGGTTCCCAAGTGATGTCCCCACCACCGCCAAACCCCAAGCAGTGACAGTGGACTGTTATTTCAGAGACGTGTGAGGCCCTATTCCATTCAGATCTATGGCTCGCTGCAGCAGCACAGACGTTCCTCACAGATACCTAAGGGTCATCCAGAATAAAGGTGTTGCCTTCCACCTAAGATGGGGGGAGCTGTGAACAATCAAGTGGAGAGGAAACAGGCTGCAGCCTGGAAAGCTAGAAGCCCTGGTCATGCTGCAGCTTAAGACTTAGTGAAATCAAGCACCTGACAGCTCAGAAAGCAGAACTGTGCCTGCTGGAGCAGTGACCCCGTGGCTACGGGGCTAAGATGAAGAATAATGATACAAAGTATCAGTACGAAAGTTCTTCATGAAATGGTAAATAAAAACAGCCAGAAAAGAGTATATACAAATACACAGACACGTGGAGGAAACACCTGGAATCCACCCTTTTGGAGCACAGTCAGAGCGCGCACACACACACACGCGCGTGCGCGCGCGCATGCTTTACTCTCCCACTACACCATTAGCTCTGAGGGCAGGCAGGCCCACGTGGCTTTGCTCCCAAGCCCAGCGCGACGCCTGTCACACAGCGGGTGCTCAGCAAACAGGTGCTGAGGGGACGTGGGCAGCTGCATTTCACAGGCGGTCCTGATTACACTACCAGCACCACCATGACTCATGGGAATGCCTACCAAAGAAAGGTTTCCCATGAATTTCTGATTAGTCAAACATTACCTCTGAACTGTCCTCATTCTCTGAAGTACTCTGCACCCTTTCCCATCGTAATAATGGGGTCAAATATAGGAAACAATACCAAATCACTATGTAAAGAGTATCAGGCTGTATAACCTCTTCCCAGGGAGGGAGCGTACGTACTACTCACCTTCCTGGCTCTTACCGCCCAGAACCCAGGGAACAGTGCTGGGCTGAACCATGTGGAACCGCTGTTTTGGAGGGTAAAAAAAAAGGCCAAATGCGGATGATATGGTTTAACCTGACACGTAGTAAATAATGACACTGGTCCATCAAGACATTATAGCTCTAAACTACAGCTAGAGTTATCATAGTAAAAAAAAATTCTGTTTGGTTTAAAATAATTAATAATGCTAATTAAACCACTAATCAAATTTCATGGTATTCCCAAGTTCTGACAGAAAATAGTTGAAAAAAAACTTACCTAGCGCTTAACAGAGAAGTTTCAGAGAAAAGAGGTTGGGCACGGGTTATCTTTGGATGTTCATACTAGTGTGGAATTGTAACACATAGTGACATTAATCAGGCACAAGTTGACCCTTACACATTAGAATTCAGCCCAGAGCATCTTACAATTTCAAGGATGATAATAAATATCAAAAGTAGAGGGCTTCCCTGGTGGCGCAGTGGTTGAGAGTCTGCCTGCTGATGCAGGGGACACGGGTTCATGCCTCGGTCCGGGAAGATCCCACATGCCGCGGAGTGGCTGGGCCCGTGAGCCATGGCCGCTGAGCCTGCGCGTCCGGAGCCTGTGCTCCGCAATGGGAGAGGCCCGCGTACCGCAAAAAAAAAAAAAAGAAAAAAAAAAAAGTAGAACATAGCCGCCAATAACAACAGCACATGTAACAATAAATCCAGACACAAAAATCAGTTATTATCCTGTAATTTGGGTAGCGTGCCAAAGGAATCACAATACTCCTCCTTGGGGAGTCTGGCAGGCGTCACGGTGCTGGAAAACACTGGACCCTGAAGGCAGAGACTGGACTCTAGGACTGCGGTCACCACCAGAGTCTTAAGGCAAACGCCACAGCTAAGGGTCAAGCTTGAGCCTCCACTCTGTAGGTGAAACAGCCTTAAACAGCCTTCAGATGGGATCAGTCTTTCAGAACCTACGCCCTGAGAACCTGCCATAGACACTTACCCTACACTGTAACAGACAACACGAAATCACGTTCTCCAGGGGCTGAGACGGACACGAGTCAGAGCTCCTCTGGGTCACTGAGTATTACTGATTATTATTATATTAGTATTTTACTTGGAAGTCAAAGGAGTATCGTGAGTTTATGGAACTTCACATTTCCTTGTTCACCAGCTAAAATCTGAGTGAACCAGGGAACACATCGTGGCCACATTAACAGGGAAGAAACAAAATGAATCAGACATAAGATGCCTCAGTGTAACTGATTTTTCAAACAAACATCATGAGCCACCAACACAACCTGGAGAGTCCCGCCAGGGTGGCAAGGGTGAGGACGTTTCTAGACACAGGAGCCCAACATGAGGGAACAAGACGAGCTGAGCCCCATGCATGTGCTGAGTGATGTGGTTCTTACGACGCACCGTGACACACCCCACGTAAGCGCCAGGAGGTGCTGCCCACGGGCAACCTGCAGAATGGCAGGAACACCGCGGGCGACAGGCTGCAGAAGCTCCTGTGCGTGACAAACTGTCAACTTTGTTCAAGAAGAAGGGAAACAAGAGTTGGCCACAGGTCTTTTATCTGCCCTGAATCTTCTGGAGACGCATGTCGTGAAGAGGCTGCCCAAGACCATCCCGGAAGAGGACTGACCACCGAGGACAGGAGCGGACGCAGTGGCCTCGGCTGGAGAAACGCTCTGCCCAGCGGAGCTCATCCCCGCAAGGTGGTTCAGCTCAGTACAGATGTGGAGCCACCCCAGCCACCAGGACTCGGCTCCTCCTGCTCTGCCACCGACTCTGCGTCCGGGGGCAAAGGAGGGCTCAGGTCTGGGGCTCATCACCTCCTCCTGGGTCTGCAGAAAAGCTCCCCACAGAGACGGGGCATACGGCCCTGATGTAGTCAAGGTCTAAGGGCAGCCTCAGAAGAGCATGGCACAGTATGACAAAAACGGCTCAAAGCCAAGTCCATGAAACGAGCCAGAGAGTTCTGAGCTGCGTGACCACAAGGGGCGTCAGCATGAAGTCAAAGGGCGACGTTAACAAGGCCTGTCTGACTGCAGTACCGAGAGGGCCTCCCCGCCCGAGACTCCGTCTGCTCTGGCGGGTGCAGTGTGACAGTGAGGGCATCCTCTGCTCACTCATCAGAGCCTGGGCTCTCGGACACACCAGTATACCACAGGAAGGTTCGGGCTGATGTGGGGCACCCACTCCAGTGGAGGGAGACAGCAACACAGGGACGGTGAGCAGGCCACCAGAGCGCCTGTAGGGGGCCACTGAGGTGGGGGAGGCGTCTGGGGTGTCCCCGCGAGGGCTGAGGTCCCAGTTTTAACTAGGTGGCTGTGATACTTCTCATCAGTTACAAATGAGCAAAGCTCTGAAGGACAACTGACGCGTGGGAGAAGAGCTCAGGGCAAAGGGACAAGCAGCACAAAGACCCTGAGGCAGAGCACACCTGTGCGAGGGTCAGCAGAGGTCAGGGTGGCTGCTGCAGGGGAGCAGGAGAGCAAGGGGGCATGAGGAAGAGGGGAGCCTGAAAGGCGCTGGGTGAGGGGCCGATCCGTGGGGCGCAGGAGGCCACCTGCAAGGTTGGAAGCAGCGGAGAAACAATCTGACCTCCTGCGAACGAGGATGGTGAGTTGCCAGCATACACGGGACACTTCAAGCTGCGTAGCTGCGTGAGCACAGACAGGAGCATGGGAGCGAGCACAGTGAGAGCGGACGAGGGTCCAGCCCCAAGGGGAGAGAGGAGGAACCAGCTAAGGGTAGGGGGCAGAGAACCAAGCGGGGGCCGTGCTCCAGAGGCCGAGGGAAGAGGTGACACAGGAGAGGAAGAGAGACAAGAGTGACAATGGTCCAGCGCGAGCAGCAGGCACGGGGTGAAGGGTGACCTCTGAGAGCTCAGCGTCCGCCCCAGACAGTGCAAGCCGTTCCTCCCTGACTTGCGCCTGCTTCCCAAGGCGCTCGGTTTTACATCAACGCCGTCCCCAGTTGGAGGGAGGCAGCCTGGGGAGCTGGCAGGGCTCTCCCTCCCGCCCCAGCCCGAGGTCTCCACGTGACCCTGTCTATGCGTGCATCCCTCTGCCCTCACGAGCCCACTGCAGGGGCGCCTGGGGTCCCTGCCCGCCGCCTCCCCCGTCCACACACCTTCTCGATGTCCACCAGCTCCGTCTCGTAGATCTCCGCGATGGTGATGTGGTGCTTGGCCGCGATCGTGAACCTTCCCTGGGGAGGAAACAAAGCAGTCACATCCCGGTTAACTGTGAGCTATCTCGAGGGTTCCACCCCACGGCCGCTCAAGCGAGGCATGTCTTACCATGTCTGTGTAAATGTCGATGGCTGCATTTAAGCAGTTGATAGCCTCTGAAGCGAAGGCATTCAAGAAAGACAATGAAAAATCCATTCAGTCAGAGGGTTCGCTGAGCCTGTCTTCCTGGCTGCTTCTACATGGCTAAGGGGCCCTGCTGGGGCGGGGCGGGGCGGGGGCAGGGTGGTTGGCAAAAAGCAAACACACGTCCAGCCCCTCGCGGAACCTGTCCACGGAAGTGTCATCAACACCTGTCAATCTATCCACTAAAACCTTACGTGCAGCGCACTCCTCGCTGGTATCACGTGTATGTATTAGTTTTGAAAGACAGTACTTTTTGTACAGTGTTAAAAGATGCTAACTTTCGGTGTACTAACAAATACCAATAGGAAGAAAAAGTCTAATAAACGAGAGTGCTAATGACACTCATTTTCTGAAACAGTGAGCCGACAGCTCCCCACCACATGGTGGCGTTTACAACGCTGGCAAGCGGTTGGCGGCTCCAAGTTTACTGCTTTTGCTCTCAAGAGGCAGCAGAGCAAAAGGCCTGACCGAAGGATCAGAAAGATAAGTAGATTAGTGAAAATAAAAGCAATTTCCCCCTAAGCTGCATAAGAAATGTGGATTGTTATGCCGTTAAAAATACAGAAAAATAGAAAAGCTACCCACAACCCGCTCAAACCCCCGGCTAGGAATTTGATGCACTTTTCCTCCCTGTGTTTTCTGGAGGCATTTCTATGAGCACTGACGTATTGTGAATTTCAGATTTCAGCTCTCCATGGTTCCTCAGCTGCCGTGAGAACATTTCCCAGGTCAGTGAGACGCCCTGAAGCCAGGGGTTCAGTGCCTGCAACACACTCTGAAATACTGATGTGAGGTGATTCTACTGTGCACTTAGGCTGTGCCCAGTTTCTCCCCTTTGGAAAATAAACTGTGGCTAATCCTTATACCACAGCCCTTGAAATAGCTTATTTCAGTGTGATATATTCACAAGAGCTGGGATTTCTGTGTTAAAACGGGCTGCTGAAACAAGGAGGGAGGTTCCACAGCCACCAGTGCACGTGTGGAGGGAGGAGATGAGGCCTTCAATTGCTAAGTGTGCACTCCTCTAACTCAAAAAGAACGTCTGCAAAACTTCACCTCTTCAAATACCCAAGATCATTCTTTCCTCAAAATCTAACGTGTTTGAAAAACACTGTTTAAAGAAGTCACATGAATGCTGTGTGAATAAGCTGTTTTCAACTATAGGATTTTACGACCTCCCATTAACTGGATCTCCACACACACTATTCGGGAGCGAGGGAACACTCATTTCCTTTAGTGAGCGATGTACACACTCACACAATGAAGGTAAGTCTTCGATAAAATTAACGCTAATTTCCAAAAACACTGTCCATAATGCAACTCCACAATGGAGTTCAAGAAAATGGTGTTGAGCACTAAGGTGGATAAATTTAATAGATTTTCTCCTCATAAAAGCTTCAGCTGATTGCAGTTAAAAATCCCCAAATCTCCACCGTCCTGAAGCGCGAGCATCTCGCTCTAGCAGCACAACCTGCGGGAGGTCCGGGGGGCATGGGACAGAGCGCAGCTCACCTTGGGGGTCTGCCTTCTTGTAGGCGTTCCCAGCATCCACAAAGCTGGTGGCGGAGTCGTGTTTGCTCTGCAGCTGCATATGAAGCTTGGCTGCCTGACAAAACGCATTTCCTGCAGCTGAAGAAGACAAATGACTCAGCACAGAGGAGCAAGCATCCTGCAGAGCGGCCCTGCTCCAGGAGCCCGGCCCACGCCCGCCTCGGGAAGGCCCCATCCCTGACAGCAGCACACATGCCTGTGACCCAGTGCACCTTGGGTGGCCATGAAGACGCCCAGGATCCAGGGGGACAACAACAAGGGCTCCTCTCAGCCCCAGGCCTCCTTCCACACTGACTGCCCGGCGGTGGGTGTTCAGCTCTATCCCTGGCACAGGCCCCGCACCAACAGGGCATCTCCACGGAGGCGTGAGGCCAGGAGAGCCCGCAGGCGAGGATGCGCACCGCCCATCTCTCTGTGTCCACTGGCTCAGCTGGCATCACCGGAGAAACAGCAACAAAGGCTCCCACAACAGGCTCTCAAGGAGTGAAGATGAGGCCCACAATTCCTAAAGTCAAAGCTCTTTCCTAAGTTTATGACAAAGTCTGACAGAGACCCATGGGGTTGAACTGTGCATGTCCCACTTGGTGTGGAACTGGCACACTTCCCCGCAGTCACACGGGTGCTGTCCGGGGGCACAGCGTGAGAGGTTCATGCACTCAGCTTTTCCAGAAAAGGTTCTTTATCAGGAAATGTGGCTTCTGGTGGGGCTGAAATGGAGGAACGAAGGAGGAAGGACCGGGCTGGGACGGAAGAGGTCAGGCCCGCTCAGGAGGCTGTGAAGGTCAGCATGGGACCGGGACGAGGATGAACCCACTTCCCCACGAGGTCCTCAAGCACAGGGGAGAACCAGGACTGGGGACGGCTGATGAGGGTCTGGAGTCGGAAGTCAGGACCAGCAGGGATGGAGGAAGAGCTCGCCCCATTAGGAAAGGCACGACCAAGAGTATCACAAAACCTCCTGGTACTTAAAAAAAAATTTCAGTCATAAACGTTTCAAAGACATTCAGAAAAGTATAAAAAATAGTGACAGACGCCTAAGAACCCTGATGGTATTAAACATTTACTTTAAACTTCTTTTCAGAAACAGAACAGTCAATTCCACTGAAGCTTCAGTGGCTCTCCGGGTCCCAACCACACTCCCAGAGGAGAAGAGGCAGCACAAAGCCCTGAGCCAGCCTGCCCAGATTCAAGTCTTGCTCTGTGCAAGACAAAAGAGCGCCCAGGCACTTCTGAAAGTATTTACCCACCAGCATGGCCTGGGCCCTGCCAGTCCAAGCAGACACTGGCCTGCGGCTGGAGCTGGGACTGCAGAAGTCTACCCGCCAGGCCTTGACCCCTACCTTGGTGGACCGTGAACCCAGAGGCCCAGAGGAGGGGCCAAGCCACTGCCAGGGTGGTGGGTAGGCACTCAGGTCCTACGGGCAGCTGTGAACTTCCTGGTGGCAGTTCAGGAACGTAGCGGCCAAAGAGTGGCTCTGATGGGCTCGGCCTCAGAAGCGTGTAGCCATCACTTGGACCTTCTAGGCAAAACGCTCAGAACAGCCTGGCCCCAGGCACTTGCACACATGTTGGCCACTGTCATTATCACACGTAAATGTCCTTAGAGAACACCTCTGCTTTGCTGTGTTTAAATGTCATCATTTCTTTTACAACTGAGTCCTCCCTCTCCCAACAATAATTTAGTTTTTGACAGTTTATTTGTGCTGGCCGTCCCAGAACCAATCGTGGTCCATCCTTCCCTGGCCGAGGGTAACAGCACAGCATCCAGGCTCTGCCGTGTTGGCTCCACTTCCCCGGATGATCCTTTTTCTTTTAATAAATTTATTGATTGATTTTTTTGGCTGCGTTGGGTCTTTGTTGCTGCGTGCGGGCTTCTCTCTAGTTGCGGTGAGCAGCGGCTACTCTTCGTTGTGGTGTGTGGGCTTCTCATTGTGGTGGCTTCTCTTTGTTGTGGAGCACGGGCTCTAGGCATGTAAGCTTCAGTAGTTGTGGCACGCAGGCTCAGGAGTTGTGGCGCATGGGCTTAGTTGCTCCGTGGCATGTGGGATCTTCCTGGACCAGGGCTCGAATCCGTGTCCCCTGCACTGGCAGGAGGATTCTTAACCACTGCGCCACCAGGGAAGTCCTCCCCAGACAATATTAAGAGCTTTGATTTTACAATTTCACACTCCCACCTTCCAAAACTAGGTGCTGGCTCACTTTTTCAGTCTGAGCACACTCCAACCACCGCTAATAAATGCCAGCTCCATCTCTCCAAACTTGGAAGTGGTTTAATACATGCTCCTTTAAAGACAAAGTTACACACTTTCTCAGGCCCAATTTCCTCAACTGTAAACATCTAATACCTGCCAGGATGACCTCTCAAAATTGGAGTAGCAGATGAATTACTTTATAAAAGAACTTCTAAAACTATAAACAAATGCAGTGGTGTCATGATCACCAACCACTAGGACATGGAGGTAATTTCAAAGAACCTGATTTTTTTTCAGTTTCTTATTTCATTTTTTAACCATTTTTTAAATTGTACGATTACAGGACCTGAGTTGATTTACAATGCTGTGTTAGTTACAGGTGTACAGCAAAGTGTTTCAGTTATATATGTATCTATTCATTTTCAGATTCTTTTCCATTATAGGTTATTACAAAAGATTGAGTATAGTTTCCTGTGCTATACAATAGGTCCTTGTTGTTTATCTATTTTATGTATAGTGGTGTGTATCTGTTAATCCCAAATTCAAAGAACCTAATACTTATTAATTCACTACACAAATATGCTGAGTATCTATCGTGTTGCACATATTGGTCCAGGGCCTGTAGGCAGAGCAGAGATAAAGCCCAGAAACACCTTGGCTTTCTAAGGTTTATGTTCTAGTGAGGGACAGCACATAATAAAAGCACAGACAATACAAATGAACAAATGTATTTCATTTATTTTTGCTAGATGGTGGTAAGGGCATCGGAGAAAAGGGAATGGGGCTTCCCAGAAGAGAGGACTGCTATCTTTAAAAGCGACGGCCAGGAAAGACCTCACTAAGGCAACGATGACATTTGTAGAAGGACCTGGAAAAAACAGGGACTGGCCACGCCCTGCTGTACGGAAGAGAGTGCCAGAGGGACGGCACAGTACAGGCAGAGGCTCAGAGGAAAGAGCCGGGGAAGGAGTGGGTGGGCAGGAGAAGTGTCCAGAGTCGGGAGGGGATGGGAGATCGAGTAGATCCTGAAGGGCACCATGAAGGACTGTAGTTCTGATTTGAAATAACATGACCTGACTTAAGATTTAACGGGATTACTCTGTTTTCTTCATTAAAACACACTAGGAAAGTAAAGAAGCAGGGAGGTAACAGTCCAAGCAAGAGATCACTGGGGTCGGGGTGGGGAGTGCACACACATCCCCCTCGGTTACATAACCAGTAATGCCCCTCTGAAAGGAATTTCCAAAGTTTAGAACATCTGGTCACCAGATAAAATAAATAAAGGGTCTTTTTAGATAAGATCACTTTTTACGTATGATTACAGGACCTGAACCAAACAAAAGATGTGAATGCTAATACTCTTTTCTCCTGCATTTTAAAATACATTATAATTCAGGTATAAATGCACTTCGGAAACAGAACATACCTTTTTAACCTACAACTAAACCTATAAAAAGAATTTTACAGCCAGAAAAGACCTTTTAGGGTCATCTAGTTCAACAGCATTTTCTTCACTGAAATGATTTTAAAGTGTCAGCCTTAGAAGCAAGGGGGAAAATCATCACACCGCACACCTCACGCTTACATGATGCAGTGTGTCACTGACATCTCGATCAAGTTGGGAGACCACACGGGGAAACACACCTAGAGAGGGCAAGACCCCATCTCAGGTCATCCGCAGGTGCGAGGGGGCTGGAGACCCACGTCCTGCCCTGTCAAAGGCTGTCTCCACCTGCACTACAGAAAAACCCCAGCACAGAACTTCTTTCTCCAGGGGTAGAGGATAAATTTGTTTCTCAAATCAGTGTGAGAAAAAGCCATCCGCTCTCAGAACAACGAAAAGAATTCTGATTTTATTTTGTGTAATTTCCCCCAGTAGAAAGCATTATGTTAGAAACTGACGAGTCTGTCAGGGTTTATAGAAATAACACCTCCCACTGCTGCATTTCTCAGTGGATTACAACCAGTTATCAGAGTAAGGAATGGTTAGAAATTCTCCACCAAGGTTTAGGTAAACAAAAGCAGACTCTCCTGTTTATCCTACGTGTTTTCAGTAAGTTTTACTACAACTTTCATTCCTTGTGGTACTGAATTTATTTAAGCACATTAATAAGAAGCAAAGATTACTATTCTTAAATCCAAGAAACTTTAAGTCTTTTTAATCACCACATGCCCACTGTATGAAATGGTTTACAGACACTAAAACAGACATGGCCTCTATGCTTAAACTTCAGCCAGGATTTCAAGCTTTGTTCCCTTGGATCAAGGCCCCCCCCCCTCCCAGTCCGCAGCCAGCAGTTTTTCTAAGGGGAAGGCAGACAGTCATTTCCTCCTTCAAAGTGATTTTAAAGTTATTTGCCTAAAAAGCAAACAAACAAAAACTTTATACATACCACTCCAATTCTTAGCCATCTTGAACATATTTGCAGCTCTGGTATACATTTCACAAGCTTCTTCTATTCTTGTGTTTCCTCTGAGAAAAATTAAAAAATGAGGTTAAGTTTTACTATAACAACCATCCACATCCCTAATCCTCCCCTCCTCCCTCAAACAATAAACATTTAATGAGCACTTACTATACGCCAGACCAGCATTAGAGAACCTTAACAGCTGTTCAAAGGAGTTACTCTAATTATCCCTGTTGTCCAGATGAGGAAACTGAAGCATAAGAAAGTAGCCACACAGCAAGGATGCCACAGAACTGAGACTCAAATACAGATGTGGCAGGACCCAGGGCTTACACCCTCAACCAGAGTCTTTTCCATGCATGAAAACTGAAGTTTTACTCATTCTGAGAAATGAGAAGTATATTTTTCAAAGGAAATTAGGATAAAGACATCTTGACACTTTTAACATCCAAGAGTTCAGCACTATGTCTATTCAGACTTAAAAGTAAAAACAAAACCCAGGGCTTCCCTGGTGGCCCAGTGGTTAAGAGTCCGCCTGCCGATGCAGGGGACAACAGGCTCGAGCCCTGGTCCAGGAAGATCCCACATGCTGCAGAACAACTAAGCCCGTGTGCCACAACTACTGAGCCTGCGCTCTAGAGCCCATGCTCCGCAACAAGAGAAGCCACCGCAATGAGAAGCCTGTGCACCACAACAAAGAGTAGCCCCCGCTCGCCGCAACTAGAGAAAGCCACCACATGGCAACGAAGACTCAACGCAGCCAAAAATATGAATGAATGAATGAATGAATGAATGATACTCAACATCATTAGCCATCAGAGAAATGCAAATCAAATCACAAACGAGACCTCACTTCACTCCCACTAGGCTGGCTAGAATCAAAAGACAGATCTAACAAATGTTAGGGAGGATGTACGGAAACTGGAACCCTCATATACTGCCGGTACAAGTGGCAAATTGTATAAAAAGCCACTTTGGATAACAGTTTGGCAGCTGCTCAAAAGGTTAAACATAGTTACTATATGACCTAGAAATTCTACTCCTAGGTACATACCCAAGAGAAATGAAAACATTAGTCCACAGAAAAACTTGTACACAAATGTTCACAGCAGCATTATTCATGATAGACAAAAATGGAAACAACCCAAACGTCCATCAAATGATAAAGGAGGTACACACACAATGGAGATCAGACAATAAAAAGGAATGAAGTACCGATCGTACTACAACGTAGACGAGCCTTCAGAAAACATAATGTGAAGAGCCAGTCCCAGAGGAGCACACCATTCACGTGAAAGGTCTACAACAGGCCAGTCTACAAAGACAGGAAGCAGATTGGTGGCTGCCTAGAGCTGGAAATGCTAGAGAAAAATGAGGGGGGAGGGTACAGAGTTTCTTTCTGGGGTGATGAAAATGTTCTAAAACTGCTTGCTGTGACAGTCGCAAAGCTTGGTGAATATGCTTAAAACTACTCAACTGGACACTCTGAACAGGTGAATTGTATACGGTATGTGAATTATATCTCAATAAAGCTGCTCCTCTCCCCTCTAAGAAAAACCCCTTTGGAAGCTAAGTCACACAGCCAATGATAGGATGGCAACAAACCACACCAAAAATGAAGTGTCAGAACAGGCAAGGCCTTCTCTCATTCACACCTTCATGTTCCTTTTTCTCTACTTCAGAGCTACGTTAAAAAAAAAAAAAAAAAAAAAAAGCTAATTATCCCAATGGAAAACTCCCAACTTGAGAAAGCTTTCAATCTTGGCCACAGCTCCTTGGAGCTAACAAAGGCTTGCCACTCTCTGTGTCTTATTTTTCTAACATGTACCAGGAATCTTGAACTGTAATTATAGTGCAATCATTCTTTTTTTTTTTTTTAATTTATTTTTGGCTGCGTTGGGTCTTCATTGCTACTCGCAGGCTTTCTCTAGTTGTGGCGAGCAGGGGCTACTCTTCGTTGTGGTGCGCGGGCTTCTCATTGCGGTGGCTTCTCTTGTTGCAGAGCACGGGCTCTAGGCGTGTGGGCTGCAGTAGTTGTGGCACGTGGGATCAGTAGTTGTGGCTCACGGGCTCTAGAGCACAGGCTCAGTAGTTGTGGCTCATGGGCTTAGTTGCTCCGCAGCACGTGGGATCTTCCCGGAAAAGGGCTCGAACCCGTGTCCCCTGCACTGGCAGGAGGATTCTTAACCACTATGTCACCAGGGAAGTCCAGTGCAATTGTTCTTATTAAAGGTTTCCAAGTAAAACTAGCTTAATTAAAATGTAATTTATCCTATTATTTTCAGAAGTGGGTTCAGCTAGGAATAATAGACCACCTACATTATGCTAGGTTTTATGCTGCATATTTCCACACGCCTTACGTCATCTTCATTATTACAACGACCACAAAAGATCTCCATGTTCCAGAAGAGAAAACTGTACCTGGAGGTCAATGGCTTGCCCAAGGTCATCCAGCCAAGGTCAGTGGTGGAGCTGACACCTGATAACAGGTTCAGCGATGTTTATAAAAATAATGAATGGACCCTGCCTCACCTCTCTTAAAACAGAATCGCCAGAAAATTTCTCATGTTAAAAGCACCAGAGAACTCATGTGTCATAAACAGACATAACTTAAAGAATTCATGAAAAAATATACTTTTAAGTCACTCCAAATGCCTACTGTGTTCTACACTCATGAACGCTGATTTTTATAAGTTTTAAGGACAAATATTCAGAATTCACATTCAAATAATTCAACTGATCATTACCCAGAGCCCCTATAAGTGAGGTAGAAGGTCCTCAAAAACAGAAACCAGTTTCACTGAGGGAGTCTACATTATAAAGTGATATAGTACAGTACATGGCACTGACCTGCCAGAAATCACTAAGAAAACAAAGTCCTTACCCAGGTGGAGGTGAGAATGCCAAGAAGAGTATTTAACTTCAGTGCTGGAGAAGTCTGAGAGTGTCTAACATCCCCACCCCAGGTTCCAAGGAGATGGGGTGAGAGTCACACGCCTCCTCCAGCCCCCAGGAGCAGCAGAGCTGGGCCCGAGCCTGCCTGCAAGCCCCTGCCTCTCTTAACTACCTTCCCCAGCCCCCACCTGTTCTCATTTTAATGTTTAGGAGGAAAAAAAATCAGCCTGGGAAAAATCACAGCCCATTATTCCAAAGAGCTCCGATGACATCTACACGCAGACCAGCCTATTAATCCTCCACTCATCCGAAGTCTTGCATTTTCCTCATGGTGAGTGAGAGCTATGTGGGAGCAGCGGGAAACTGCAACTGAGCACGTGCGCACGTGGGGGCCAGAGACACCAAATCAAGAGCCATGGGGACCAACAACACACACCAAGAGATATGCCCCAGAGAAGTGGGGCAACTGCTGAGGCGGAAAGAACGCTGCTCTTAACCCAGGAGATCTGGAGCAGAAGTGTCCTACCGCATGACAATCACAGAGCTGTGATGATGCCAAAGCAGGACTAGAGACAAAATTCAGCTTCCTCATCAGAACACACTGAAGGGCTGTCAAACCGTGTGGAAGACTGAACACAGGGATCACTTTGAGTTTCCCAGGGCTGGGAGGGGCTCCTCCTCCTCATTCACCAGTGACACCACTCCAGCCATCAGGCCGATGCCGGGACAGGGTCCAGCACAGGGCCTGGCTCACAGGCCTCAGGCACGAGGCTGAAGACCCAGCGTCTGCATGGAAGAAACAGCCCACATCACAGATTTGCAAGTTCTCCCACGTGTCCCTCAAAACAAGCAAATACAGAAAGCATCCCGAAAAGAAGTGAAAAATTCAAAGTCTGTTTAAAATACCTCTATCATTAAAGGAAACAGTTTCTCTATTCACAACACTTCTGACACCAAATGTGGGTTTTCTATGCTAAGCAACTCTCCAATTCCCTGTGGCCACCAGCGGGATGTCCTGAAGTGCGGGTTGAGCACCCGCACTTCAGATGCCCGTTGCAAGTGCTGGGTCCCCCGTTCTTCTGACCAACCGGCTACAAATCAGGGGTTCCCACAACCTCCTCCTCAAGTTCGATAATTTGCTGGAAGGATTCACAGAACTCAGAGAAACACATTCCTATCACTGATTTCTTATCAGCTGAGAAACAGCAAAACGGGAGAGAGGCACAGGGCAGGCGTGTCAGAAGGGCACCCGGAGCCCCCCTCTCTCCGGGAGCCCCCCTCTCCCGGGGAGCCCCACTCCCCCCAGGAGCATCCTCTCCCTGGGAGCAGCACCTCCATGTGTCTCCAACCCGGAAGCTCTTTGAGCCCCCTCGTGTAGGGTTTTTACAAGGCTCATGGCAGAGGGACTGACTACCCTGGTGACTGACTGAATCCCCTCCGGGGTGGAACTGAAAGTTCCAGCCCTCTTATCACTGGCTGCTTCCTCTGACAATCAGCCCCCGTCCTGAAGCCATCAGGACCCACCTTGAGTCACCTCATTAGCATAACCCAGGTAGGGTTGAAAGGGGCTTATTATGAATAATAATAAGCCCCTCACCACTCAGGGTCTTACAAGCCTTTACCAGCTCCATGCCAGGAACCCAGGGTGGAGAACAAATCTATATATTTCATCTATCACAACATCACAGCCATATACAACTATTTATTCTTTTTACCCTCCAACAAGCAATTTACTTTCGTCTGATACTTTATATCTGTAATCTCCACAGATTCTAAAAGTTGGGAGTTTTCCTAGATAAACTTAACCCTTTCAGGGTTATTTTAGTTCTGGGTTTAATATGTCTGTAAACAGTCCAGCTTCCTCCACGTGATGACAAAGCAGAGCGCCTGCAGCAGGTGGAATGCAGAGGCCCCAGGGAGATACTTTTCTTAGTGCTCATCTGAATTCTTATACCAAATGCCTGTAACTGCTTGACTGAAGTCCTCTGCTTTTTCACAAATCAGTAACAGGAGGAGTAGTGCAAGCACGCAGTCTTTGGAGTCAGACTGCCTACCAACAAACGTAGGCATCTATCCGCTCCCCTCCCTCCCCGCCCCCCAAGAGCAGACACAGCTCCAAGCCCCAGAGCACTGCCCCCAGAGCAGCTGGCAGGAGACAAGCAGGGGCCTC